GAGCGTAAAGAATTTTTGTTTTATTGGAAAAACACATTTGAATACGAAAGATAACAATAAAACTGGAAAGCAAAGGTGTCATCGAGCTACTTGTTGCAGCAAGTAAGGCAAGCAAAGGTGACATCGAGCTACTTGTTGCAGCAAGTAAGGCTGGAGTGGCATTTTGAATTGCACTTAATTTTCTTTTTCAAACAAAGACACTTCATATTTTGGCACCTGGTCTTGCACATATACCTCACGTATCCTTGACCGCTTCCTGTTGACTGAGAGATAGCAGCAGATCGGAGAGGTATTTAATGGGCCGGGACGTCTTCAACTCTCAATAAATCTTTTGGACATACAGCGAACTTAACTGTGATCTCGAATACAGTTGTTTCAAGATTCCTTGTGCAGTTCCAAGTCGATAAAAGCCGTCTTCTGTCTCTGTCATAACAAATGCTAACAGATTGCGCGAGTCACCGTCCCTTGTCAACGTCAGGAATAGGATCTCGCACAGTGGCTCCTAAAGGTGCAGGAGGGAATTTTTTGTCAGAGTTTATTTTCATATTTTTTTTGGCCTGGATTTCAAGATTCGATTTAGATTCTTTTCTAGCCTCTATAGCTCTCTTTATCTTGAAACACAAGCTGCACAAAATACCAACACCATAACCTTCTATGTCCTCGTCTCCATCGTCTTTAGCAGCATGCCCACAGATCACATGAACAATACGGTGACAGTTTCGGCATGTATGGGCACCGCTGCTTTCTTTTAAGCAGACACAACAAACACCAGAAGTGGAAGGCTCTTCGGTAACCATGACGTCACAATCAGTTTGGTTTCCTCCATTACTGGTTGCATTCTCTTCAGTATTCTTTATAGCAGGCTCTGTATCTTGCATCTGACGATTTGCTTCTTCCTGCTGTGTTGTTTTTACGCTTTCTATTATTTTTTCGAGTTCTTTCTCAGTCTGTATGTCTTGCAAAACGTCAGAGGGTATGGAAGACGTTGCAATGCCCACTTTAGCTTTGCAGCCAAACAGAGCTTCATAAGGCGTTCTCTTGATCCCAGAATGATAGGCTCTGTTATTCATAAGGCATTCTCTTGATCCCAGAATGGAAGGCCCTGTTCTTCATAAGGCGTTCTCTTGATCCCAGAATGAAAGGCCCTGTTCTTCATAAGGCGTTCTCTTGATCCCAGAATGAAAGGCCCTGTTCTTCATAAGGCGTTCTCTTGATCCCAGAATGAAAGGCCCTGTTCTTCATAAGGGGTAATATGGGGAGAGACTGCAATCAGGTTAGTACAAAATAAAATGAGTAAAACAGAGTATGGTTAAACCTGAAAAATTAAACGCAACAAAACAGCGAACGTGTCGGCAGAAAGCCTTCGTCAGCGAACAAAACAACAGAAAAAACGTTATAAAAATAAGAAATAGCACTTAGCTGGTAAGTAGTATCTGTGGGCAGCAATAGAAGTGTGGCAGAAGGAAAATGAGTGAGAGTTTAAATAAGCAGCGGCGAAAAAA